CATGAGCATGGAATGCTTTTCCATTTCTTTGCATCTTCTTCAATTTCCTTCATAAGCTTTCTCTAGTTTTCAGCATACAGATCTTTTACCTCTTTGGTTAGGTTTATTCCTAGGGATTTTATCGTTCTTGGTGCAGTTGTAAGTGGGATCAGTTTCTTTATTTCTCTTTCTGTTGCTTCACTATTGGTGTCTAAAAACTCAATGGATTTCTGTACATTGATTTTGTACCCTGTGACTTTGCTGAATTCATGTATCAGTTCTAGGGGGTCTTCTTTTGGAGTCTTTTGGGTTGTCCATGTAGAGTACCATGTCGTCTGCAAAAAGGGAAAGTTTGACTTCCTCTTTGCCAATTTTCATGCCTTTTATTTCATTTTTGCTGCCCGATTGCTAATGCTAGGGCTTCCAACACTATGTTAAACAACAGTGGTTAGAGTGGACATGCCTGTCGCGTTCCTGCTCTCACAGGGAACACTCTCAGTTTTTCCCCATGGAGGATGATATTAGCTGTGGGCTTTTCATATATGGCTTTTATGATGTTTAAGTATGCTCTTGACACAATGGACAGAAGACACAAATAGACACTTTTCCAAAGAAGACATCCAGATGGCCAACAGACACATGAAAAGATGCTCAGCATCACTCCTCATAAGGGAAATACACATCAAACCACACTGAGATACCACCCTACACCGGTCAGAGTGGCTAAAGTGAACAAATCAGGAAACTACACATGCTGGAAAGGATGTGGAGAAATGGAACCCTCTTGCACTGTTGGTGGAAATGCAAAGTGGGGCAGCCGCTCTGGAAAACAGTGTGGAGGTTCCTCAAAAACATAGAACTACCCTATGACCCAGCAGTAACACTTCTAGGAATTTACCCAAGGGATACAGGAGTGCTGATGCTGGGGGCACATGACCCCAATGTTTCTAGCAACGCTTTCAACAATAGCCAAAATATGGAAAGAGCCTACATGTCCATCAACTGATGAATGGATAAAGAAGATGTGATTTATATATACAATGGAATACCACTTGACAATGAGAAGAATGAAATCTGGCCATTTGCAGCCACATGAATGCAACTGGATGCATTACGCTGAGTGAAATCAGTCAGTCAAAGAAGGACAGATCTCCTATGTTATCACTCATATGTGGATCTTGAGAAACTGAACAGAAGTCCGTGGGGGAAGGCAAGGTCAAAAACAATAGTTACAAACAGAGAGAAAGGGAGGCAAACCACAAGAGACTCTGAAATACAGAGAACAAACTGAGGATGGATGGCAGGGGTGCGGGAGAGGGGAAAATGGGTGATGGGCATTGAGGAGGGCCCTTGTTGGGATGAGCACTGGGTGTTGTATGTTAGCCAATTGGAAAATAAACTATATTAAAATAATAAAATAAAATAAAATAAAATAAAATAAAAAACAAAGACAATAGGTGATTCCAAATGATAGAGAATTTATTAAGAGATACAGGTGAGGCTCCCCACGTCTAGGGAGACATTGAAAGGGAACATGACAGGCAGCAAGAGGCATACAAGCTTCTTGAGTACACCGAGAAAGAAAACATACCCGTGTGGGCTTTCAGTAGTTTCCACGAGTTATAGGTCATTCCTGAGGAGTTGTTTTGCTAACATATTTAGAGGGACAGGATAAAGTTCTTGACTATGGAGACCAAACAGAGATCCTCACTCTGTATCAGGATGGGTGAGGCTGGCACATGACCCAGAGGAAGGAAAGAAGAAGCGAATCAGGGAGAAGCGGTCCACAA